ATGTCTTCTTTATAATTTGCAGCCTGTCACGCTTTTCATATTCTGCATGAGTTGAATATTCTTCTGCTAGGGGAGGAAATAGTTTACATATGGCATTTTATTGGTAGAGTTGCACATTGGTTTTGGGGCTTACAACAAACTTTAGCTTATCATAAATACTATAAATCTCTTAAGATGAATCCTCACATATTGTTTGCTTCCTTTTGTCTTTCATTTTTTGCAACCAGCGGGAACGATGGCAAAAACCAATTCTTCGACGTTTACAGGTAGTTTTGCACTTCATTTGTTGGTGTCAATATCTTGAATTCTGGTCCAGATACGTATGGTTATAGGGAATTTTATGCTCAAGGAATACAGCTTTCCTGATAAATATGCAGGACCAGATTCCTGCTTCTATCCCCTGCATGCATGATTTATGAACAATAAAATAATGTGAAATTGACGTTCATTTTCAAAACCTTTATCTCTTCTTTTCTTATAGAATAGCTATAGAACTAAGTTCGAAGAACTACTGGCATTCATTCTTCGAAGCTCTGTCTCTTCTTTTCTGATAGAATTCCAATAGATTTAAGCTCAAAGAATTATTGGCATTTTCTCCTTTTTCTCTCAACAGTTTAGCTTATACGGATGGAACTTCTTGTCTCAAGTTACTATATTATGTTCTGCAATAACTACTCTTTGTGTGCGTCCAGCTTCTTAGCAATTGGATTAGGATTGATTTGACTTTACATTTTGATATATCACTAGAGTTTCATTTTAAAATCGTGCAAATGTTATGCCTGTCCTCCAATTTACTTAGAAGGATTTTTTTTTTCTAGAATTGCGCACTTGCACGTGTTAATCTCTGTTTTTCAATTTCCTTTACAGCCACCTCCACCAGTCAATGATACCAATCCGTACAATGTATTCAGGCCTAGATAGAAAGCTCATAGGCTTCACACCAGGAGAGTATGTTGTTACTTGATTCATTTGTTATTTCATGTATATTTTTAAGTGGCATTATTATTTGTTAAACCTTGAGGAATTGAAATTTATTTAATGGGTCTTCTACATGCTTGCTGTTTTACAAATAGATGCAAAGGAGGGAAAACAATGTGCAGTCCTTTGAAAAGCTTCGTCAGGTGATCATTATTTTTATTCCAGCCCTTGTATCTTTTTATACTTTGTTTTTTTGTGCTTAGCGTTGTGTAGTGGACTTCGAATTAAGTGCTTAATTGATTCAGAAGCATTAACCATCAATACTTCAAATTCTTTTTGCCTGTCTTTTACTGATATCGTTCGGCACGAGTGACGTCAACTCAAGTCCTAATTGTACTTTTTGAACATATCATCATTCTGATATAGAACATGTGTAATGTCTCTGATTGGTCATCTTTTATTGCTTGATGCTTGCATATACTGTGTAGCATATGCGGACATATCATGGATGAACTATCATTTTGTATAATGGCCTTAATACTGCTTTTTTAATGCTTAGCCTTGTAGTTATCCTCTTTCTATTCTCATTAGGAATAAGAGCAACTTGCTGTCACTTAAATGGTTCAATATGTTGATGATATTGAATCTTTCAGAAGGATTGAAAATTTTATTCCATCACAAAATAAAATTACTTCCATTTGCAAGTTTGCATTTCCCCAAGCAATTAACCGGCTGAGCCAGTTTAGCAAATTTATTTTGATCCTAATCTGAGCCATGAAACACATTGGATTTAATAGCTCAATGGGTATTTCAGCTGTTATTCCAGATGTAATTTATGAAATAGTAGGGCGTTTAGTCTGAATATCTGAGTTTGTTTAATTAGTGTGTAATTTTCTGGCCTTCCATGGAGCCCCTCACTTACCCCTGAAAACAAGATGTTGTAAAGCCAAGGTGCGTCCTAAGAGGACTGGCATTACTTTTTTGAGCTCACTACTTGCTTCATGTTCATGTTTGCCAAAGCAAATTTGCTTGCACTCATAACCATACGATTATCTTCTGCTAGTTATTGCTGATCGCCAACTTCAGTTCTCATTTTGAGCCACTGATCTTTAATCGCATATGACGATTGTTGAGTTCAGCGTCTCATTCCTGGTCATTAATCCATTTGAGGAGTGCATTCAACTGGCTCATGAGTTTTTAGGCAATTAGTTAATAATCATTTCATAGCTTTTAGAAAGTAGAAGGAGCACTTTTGCATTATGCTTTTGTTTCTGCTCCCCTTTAAGATTCTATTTTGTAATATTTTATTTACACACTCCCCTTTAAGATTCTATTTTGTAATGTTTTATTTACACACCTAGTTCCCTTTCGTTTTCAATTTCCATCTTCAGGTCAGGCGCAACCTCGATCAGGCGAAGACCATTATTGAGGCTCTGATCAAGGTATTTGCCCTTATGATTCGAAAGTTCAAAATTCTCCAGTAAGCTTTATGTTGCACATGGTGTGGGAGCTTTTGAAACGACGACTACTGTTCATTCCTTCTTCATGATTTTATGTAGAGGGAAGAGAAAAAACGAGAACTCGTGGAGAATGAGGTTAGCCTTCAAAGAATTCAAATGAAGTATAAGGTACGCATGATAATTCTGTGCTATTAAATTATTAGTAATTCTGAAATTGACTTCTTTTGTATAATCACTTCTCTTTACAGCCCACAAAAAGCCAAACTGATGCTGGAATTTGCTGTGAAGCAAAATGTGATATGCATTTCTTCCTCTGTCTTGCAAAATAAACAATAATTCACATTAAGAATCTTAAAAAGAAAGCAAAGAAGCAACACTCGAGAGTCTGTGTTATCCAGATTCGCATCCACAGAATGCATTCCCATTTTTCCATTAGACTATTTACCCCGAAGTTCCAATGGTTTAATTTTATCATCATATAATGTAATAATCCATGAATTCCCAGCTTCAGTGTTTTGCGTCTGTTTCTTTGTTCTGCTATTTCTCATAGTTTATAGAGAACAAGTGCCTCAAGTCTCTTTTGACTCTCAAATTACCACCCTCACACTTCTGTCTTCCTGGACTATGTCCTGGCCTCCATCTTAGCTCCATGCGCAATAGGGGATCAAATTATTCTCTGCCCAAACCCTTTCATATGTACTCCTTAAGGTTTGTCCAACGGTAATCTACTATGGACTCATAATGGTGATTCTCTGGTCCATGCCTGTATGATAATCCTTTAGTGACATCATCATTGCTGATAGTGTTTTCTTTGGGGAGATTTGATTTCTTTGTCATCTGCATGTATTCTTTCTTGCTCCAAGTTAAAAGAAGATCCCCTTTCTTTTCCCCTCTGAGATTACTTCGAACATACTTTCCCTATGAAAGCACATTTAGGAATTTCTTTTCAAACCAACCAATATATGCTGTAATTGTATTTTCCTGTCTCAATAAAACAAAAGCACTTTAAATGGTATAATCTGTGGAGTGCTGTTGTGTTGAGTGTTCAAATTCTATCAGGTCATGAGCTGCAATAGTTACTTAAAAGGATTACTGGTAATTGAATTTCTATGTATTTTCCAGCATGAAACTGAGCTCCTTGAAGATAGCTTGGCACTTCCTGGATTGCCGTCCTTCCCCAGCAATCCAGGAAGACGAGTTTGTCGATTCTGATGATGTGGCAAATAGTCGTCCTGCTTTGGTGCAAACCCCATCTTTCGCAGAAACGAAGGTGGTGATGGCTTCTGCAGGAAGCATGAGGCGAGATGTCAGACAGCGTCATGTTCCACACAGTTGGCTTCGTAAACTGGTACTTGTCTTGAGCTCATTCTTAACTGAATTTACTCCTTTTCATTTTTATTTTGTCTACATAATGTCTGGAGAAGACATGACAATAAATCTGAAAAGTTGACATATTTGGCTGGTGCGCCTGGAGGATTGGTATATAGTTTGTTGGATGCTCATTCCATCTCTACAATATCCTTGTTACAGACATGTAAAACGGCATTCTATTGTTTATGCAGGATCCAAATGAACCAATCTTGCTGTTCACTAAACCACATCCAGATAAACTAGCAGCTGCAGGCATTATACCTCCATTGGATTCGTCAACCCCAAATGGCATGTCTGCATGCTCGTTTAATTATCGTGGAAGGATTGGCTGAGGGGGCAGAATAGTGTTTGACCGATGGAATCCTATAACAGATACTCCAATTGAGTGTGGTGATATGTTATATGTACCACCAAAACCCCAGCATTCAGCACATCATTAATTTCATTGCCCTTCCACATTTTTTTTTCTAGAACGACGCCCTTAGAATCATTCCATTGGATGAAGGCGTGTTCAATAAATTTTTCCAGTTATGGACATGACAGAGAAATGAAAGCTACTCACAGGGGGTTTTGCTGAATTCTTCGAGTATGCCCTATTGCTTTTCATCTGCCCTAGCAAAACTATTTTTGTTCGTCGGGTAGACTGGAAATGAGCAGCTTACCATCTTTGGTTGATGGCGTAAGTTAATCTGGAAGGCCACATTAGTTGCTTTTACATTGTATTTCTACTGTAAATGGTTTGAAAGGGAAAAAAGTAAAGTAAAGGGGGTGCACGGTATTTCCATTCCATCTTTGTAGCAAACTTTCAGAATTTAAATGAGTCAAATGCTGCAAGTGATGGTTTGTTTCAAATTTCTCGAGATTTAAAGTTACTATGATATTCTTTTTTACTTCAATTTTGTATGGATGAGCGTCGCTAAATTCAAGCTCAGATTTTGGCACTACCCCAGTTTGTAAAGAAGAATAAAAAAGCATGAAATTCATTACCAAATCCCAAATAAAAAAATTAAAATGAAGCCATATCAACATGAAATTCATTGTTCATTTTCAAATTACAAGGGTAAAGACATTTCCGTTTCTGCTCACGATCAGCAATATTATTTTTCAAGTATTTTTCCGGTCACATTATCAAAATCATCAAAAAAGGAACCTAATAAATGCCAACTATTTACATCATAAGGTTCAAAGTAAAGCTAATCTATGAAGGGGACGATGGACTAAGATGCTTAGGCTTTTCAAGTGGAAGCTTATTCAGCTCGAAATTGTTCTTTCCAGGCGCAGAGCCTTCTCCATTGGCCTCTGCCATTTTAAGATCATTTAACGTTCTCTTTGCGTAGATTGTGAAAGCAACCGTCGTAATGATAGCAATAATAAAGGAAATGACGTTGTAAATGATTTCTACCAGAGTCAGGTGATGGTTCCCATACTTGACATCTGCCAACGTTCTTATGAGTCGACCACTGTAGACATCAAAATCAAAAATGAAGTCAGCAAAAAACAAACAAACAAGAAAGAAGTCATTGCTCCAAAATAAGCTATTGGAAAACTCGAGTTCCAATGCCAAAGCATAAATTAAGCCCATGTTTGGTGCACATCTTGGGAGTAAAAATGCATTTTTACCGTTGATGTGATGAGAAATATGTGGTTGAAAAAGAAAGAAAAATTATTGATGTGACGAAAAATATTATTTTATTGAAAAATATGTGGTGGAAAATGAGTAGAAGAATGAGAATGAGAAAAATAATGTGACTCAAACGAGGGCTAATGNTATATTGCCTTGAATAATTTGGTCATGTGTAATATTGAGCCCTTGTTTGGGCCACATTATTTTCTTCATTTTCATTCTTCTACTCATTTTCAACCACACATTCTTCAATAAAATAATATTTTTCATAACATCAATAACTTTTCCTTCTTTTTCAACCACATATTCTCCATCACATCACTTCAAAAAATGCATTCTCTCATTTTAATGTGTACCAAACGAGCTCTAAGTAAAGAGTTACTTTAGTTCTAGCATATTTGACTTCTAGCTTTAAAGCTTAGCCAAACATGCTCTTTCAAGTAAGGAAAAAGTAACTTCTAGTCAAGAGAACACGATGGGAATTAACAGAAAAAGTAACTTTTACTTATTTTTTAAGCTTAGCCAAACATGCCTAGAAGCTGAAGGTTGGGAAACAAGTGCATTCAGTCATTCACTAAAGGTTGTGTTGTTATTGATCCTTAATTGTTGCCTTGTCGAATGGAGAGGAAACCACTTATTTCTAGTAACAACCGGGCTGTATTATTTACCTATTGGGTATAATACAGATAGAGAGCTGACCTGTAGATGTAAATGAAGGCCTCAGGAATCATTCCGGTAACTGATCCCCACAAATAGGGCCAGAATGTCATACTCGTCACCACTATCGCGTAATTAAATATAGTGTACGGAAATGGCGAAATCCTAAAAAGTGCAACCACTTTAAACTGATGGAACCAACTTCCTTCTCCAGCCAATCGAATCATAGCAGCTTTCTGAGGCCATCTTTTTAACCATTGCTACATTGCATATTTACAGACAAAAGATTATGAGTAAAACAACGAAGTAAGAAATGGCAAACATCAACTATGGAAAGTTGAATATAAAAAAGAGAACATAAATTATACAATATCATGTATCTTACATGAATTCGATCACGAAAGAGTAAACCAATCAAGTATGGCAGGATCATTCCAATAGTAGTTCCAACCATGATTATGACAAACCCCAGGCCATAACCAAAAATCATCCCAGCTAGCCACATGGAAGGACCAGAAGGAATAAGAAACACTGGGAAAAATGCCAAAGAAGCTACAAGTACGAGAGCAAGCACAGGACGACCAAATGCAGTGGCTTCCCATTGCAGGATTGGGAAAAGAACCTAAGCACAATCGTTGGAGTAAAAGGTCAAAGGGTTTTCATTTCGTAAATCGATGCCAAATTATCCTACAAGATCAGAAACTTCACCAAAATGTAGAGAAATACTTTTTATGAACAAATATATCAATGTAATCCATTCAAGCCAAGTCTAGAATTCCATGGCTCTTGTTAATAACTAGTTATTATCCGCTCACATATCTTGGTATTTTGGTATTATCGCATCAAATCATCATTCAAAAATATCGTCGTAAAACTTTCAGATCATCATCAACCCAATATCATTTGCTTAATAAGTTGAACAACAAGCACCCCCCATCCCCCTGCCCAACAAACTGCAGATGATCCTGATTAAGAAAAGAAGATTCAAATCCTTATAGTAGACTACTATGTCCAAATTATGTTTATTTCTGTGAAAGGTTCCGTAGAAGAAATCACGAAAACGAAAGGGAAGAAATACATACATAGTAAAAACAAGAAATAAAATACCTTCTCCACAAGAAAGGGAACCCCCCATTTAAAAAATATAAGCACAACAACTATAGTGATTGAACACCATGTTATGGCCTTGATCCACCATGTAAGAAGAGATCTCGTCCTGGCTTGTGGTTGAGATTCCAAAGTATCAGGTTCAGATATCCTTAGTTCATCTGGTATGACCAATCTTACATACTCACTATCTTCCCTCACCTGACCCCCATTGTTAACGTGGTTTCCATCGGACTCCTTAGCTGAATCCGACATCTCGGTCGAGACACCAGATGTCTGTCAAATGAAACAGGATATGCATTAATATTAAGCAAGACAGATAGAAGCCATACATAAAATATTCAGGCAAAAATATACTCATTTTGTATTATAGGAAGTTTAGGAACGCAAAATTAATTTAAAAATGATTTTAGGCAACTTTCTCAGGAACACAAGTTTGCTTACTTTCATCCGAGCTGGAGTTCTCTCTCTCGTCATGTTTAATGAAAAACAATAATCTAATTTCAAACAGATTCATATGATATATAGTAAGAGCTAAGAACAATAGATTCCATGCAGGTGCGGCATTTTCCTTATCAAGTCATATATAATGTGATAACCACATATTGAACTTGAACATATAGGAGGATTGGTGAGTGTAAAAAATGTGAAACTAACAACATTCTACAGCTACTATGTATGGGACTTGCACCATGGACGTCTGATTAGTCACAACCAACTGGATGTGTCTGAACTGAAAATGTTGAAAATACACTAAACTACTCTTTCTGCCGGCATCGTGTATCATATGGACAAGGTTTAAACACTGCATTGTTTGAAGCTACATGAGAGGAATCAATTTTATCAATTAAATAAGAGGAAAGGACAATGGATTTGCTGGTTCTCCAAACGGTATTCGTAGTCTAAAATGCAAGATGACCCTATTGACTTTAAGCCACGGGGATGACAAATAATATTGGGGAAAAAAAACTTAGTAGAATATCCAAAAAAGGGTATTAGCCACAAATAATAAACAACTTAACTAATAATCCAAAAAAAACAGGCATCACAAAAGCCCTAATGAAAAGTATTAGCCACAAATAATAAACAACTTAACTAATAATCCAAAAAAAAAGGCATCACAAAAGCCCTAATGAAAGAAGCACAGGAGTGAGTTCTCTAAAATTATAAATTGGAACACCATAGACACATATCTGAGCTCACAAAATCTTGACTAATCTACAATCAACAATCATTTTCCAAACTTGAAACCAAATGAACTTCTCCTTTCTCATTTTTCTGGCAATTTATTAATGATTATTATATACATAAATATAAATTCAATTCAACAGTAATTGATCTTTCTCTTTCACCAGACGAAACCCTAGGACACCTTAAATTTATCAAGAAATGCAGAACAACGGGGAATTTAACGGAAAAAAGTTAAAGAAATCTTGCACCAGAAAGTATAAATTACCGTTTTCCCTTCTTTATCATCCTCAAAACTGAAAAACATATACTTACATATCTGTACGCGCATACTATACACCCGCTACACGTGTATATAATAATAACTAAGAAAATCAGAAAAAGAATAAAGCTTGGCACTTCAAAAAACCAAAAGCAAAAAAAAAAAGGGATCACTTCATATGCTTTCGGAGAAGAATAAATTTTTAAACTTCACCAAAAATAATAATAATACTAATAATAATAATAATAATAAATAAATGAACTAAAGATTATATTTTGGATAAATCCACAAAAAATTAAACCTCCGTACTCCCTAAATCCTCAAAAATAAAACCTATAAAAAAAAAAATCTCTGAATACTTACTGGAGAGAAAATTGAATTGCTCTTTTTTTTTTCCAGGTGGGTTCTTGTTGGATTTGTTTTGCCTTGTCGGATGAAGTAATCCAACGGATAGAATTTAGAAAGTTGGTGAAAAAGGAGGGAGTAGTGTGTTTTCTTGATGTTCACTCCTTTCTGCTGAATTTCTTTGTATCTTTAAAGTTAAAAATCAAACGCAGAAATTGCGTGAAAGAGTCCGCCAACTTGCCTTGACTCTGCACCTTTCTTTTTACCTTAACAACTAATTTTGCTTTTTTCTCGCTAATTATAAATAATTACATGCTTGGATTTTGGGATTTAAAATTTTTCAAAATTTGCTTTCGATTTGAGTTGAAATGGCGATAAATTGAACCAAGCATTCATTACTTTGTGTAGTAGCTGCTGCTTTTTGTGCTTTCGATTTTTTTCCTTTTCAACTTAAATTACGTTTTTCTTTTATTGGACATCAAATTCAGTAAATCTAATGATAAATTGAACAAAAATGTCAAGAAACTCGTACAATCGATCTTACGATATTTAATCTTTTCTTTTTTATTCTTGGGACGCATAAATTTACACACAATAACTTCCTCTCTCAGTTGCAATAGACTATGTCACTCATTTTTATCTCAATAACTTCTCTCATTTGACAAGTCAAATTAAAAAAATTTCATCCATTCATTTTGTGGGATCCACAATTCACTTATGTCGCTCATTTTTATTCATTTATAAATAAAATCGTTTATAAACACTTTCCAAATAAGCGTTATTATTAAGCTGGTGTAACGGAGATAAAAATAAAGAAATAATCACGATTGCTTTTTTATATACTATTATATTTTATAATTGCTAACGTAGTTATTAAATATTGAACTAAAATTGTTAGTTAAGATCGTCCAACAAAAATTATTGAGAACTACAATTTTTTTGGAGAGGTAAAGATCGCAATTTTTTTTTTTTCAAAAAATAATGATATGTATCATTATATCACCGATTAAGTGAGATTGGTTAAGTCGATTTATTGTTTAATAAAATTGTGTTACATTTTTATGCATTGAATAATGGATCAACATATAACAATCCATTTCTACAAAATATTTTTTTTTTCCCTACCCCCATTCTCTCCTTTTCTTACCACGTCCACATCGAATTAAAAATAAGCCCCCCC